GCAGTCCCTTTTTTTTTTTAAAATGATTTTATATATAGAGATCACAGTGATTATTTATGCAACAATTAAAGAAAAGGGGCCGTGCATAGGAACTTTACATGTAATATCACGCTCCATAATCTGGTAAGAAATTTTCTATATCGTTATTATCCTGGGCACGTGAAGATCGGCGATTAAACTACCTGTACAAAAATGATTTGAAATAATTGGTCTTTTTGCTTTAATGAAGATTCCTTTAAAGTTTAAACTAACTTTTAATCAAATTTAGCTCGGGGAAATGACCCGAAGTTGCACGTAGGGACATTCGATTATATAATAGTTTGATAGTGTGACTGCATGTTTATAGACCAATCAAAAATTGCAATAGATGCAGATAGAATTATCGACGCGGTCGGAACTTGTTGAATTTTAAATTCGTATATTTGCACATGATCCATCAAAAAGTTATATCAGTGGATACTTAAAGTAATGTATAGTAACACCAGAGTTGCGCCTCATAGCTAAATAATTTGTTTATGGCTTTTTTTTTTTTCCTGATATTGTAAAAGCGATATTTGGAACAATCGAAGAAGACAATCAATAAAAAGTAACTATTGTATTACTCAAAGGATCGGAATTTAGAAAGAAATACAGTCAATTATTTGCGAGACAACCTGATTTGATAAATTGTAAGTTAATGAATGCCCCGTACTTTTAATACTAAATTTGTAGGTTTTTACGACATTCAATAAGAACCAATAATATAGAATTTTAAATATATATATATATATATATTTTAACACAATGAAAATTGTACATTATCAGAAAATCAAAGTGAGGAAGTACTCTATCACGAATAAGCCCCACTCTTTGTGATAAAGTTGAGATAAAGTTTTTTACACGAGTTATATGCATCAATTATAAATTCATCCTGAAGTTGCTAAGTTTTGCATAAAAATATTAATCTGCCTTACGCCCTCACTCCCTTTCTTGTAAATTAAAAATTTAATCAAACTACTTTTGTGATAAAATCTCGTGGATGTCAGAATCATATTATTGTTGATAGTACAATCAGTCATTTTACATCCAAGTTTAGTTTAATTTACATATATTTTTTCACATTATTAATAATTGTGAGAATAAAATCTTTAATGCATATTTCATAAATAAATTGTGTGAGATCTTGTGCTATCGTCTGCGAAATTCGGATTTTCGTAGTTGATGTGTTACTTTACTTTCAAACTTAAGTGTTCCAAATTCTAGATGAAGTGATAGTTATACAATATATATATATATATATATATATATATATATATATATATATATGGATATATATATATAGATAGATAAATATTTTATGCAATATAAAATAAATATATAGTATTGAAGATATAAATAGTATTAGAACAGAAAGCATAGCAACCTCATTGCCATTCCTAGAATTGAAACGACGGAGTTTACGATTAAATACGAATGAATGATATTAAAACAATGGAAAACCCCCGCTTTAGTTTACATTGAGGTACGACCAAACTGCAATTGTATGTTGTGTTCGTGTAACCAAAGTTATCGAAGAAATTCGAAAAATTTAGATTAAGATTTTTTTATTCTCTTGAGTTATGTTCGAAATTTATCTTTTTAATTATTATAAAAGTCAGTCTTAAATATACCATTTATTATTATGACTATCACGTTAATTATTGAATTATCAAAACCAAAGATGGGTCAATAAATATGCATATTTGATCATTGATCAAATCTTCAGTACATATCTTCATATATAAAAATGTCTGCATGTCAAAAAAATATAGTTATTATCTGCATCGGAAAATTAGGTGATTATTACCACAACAAGAAAATGAGAATGATTTAGCTTGTTTAAGCGATTTTTTTTTTATTCTTTGTAGGTAAATGACAGAGCGTGTGACAGTTAGAATAAATTTCCGTGTGTAAACTCTAAAGTGAAATCCATGTCTTTACTTAGCCTGAATTTGTTTATTTAGGTTATCACGTTGTATTAGATGTTTTTACCACTTTAAATGCTTCTTAGACACCTGATTCTACCATTAAAAAGAATGAAATTGATGTATTTGTTAATATTACTGTTTGTTATGGTTTTTTTGTATTGCATAAACAGAAAATTAATGCTGAATGTAATTGTAATTCGTAAAAAAAAAACGGTATCGGTATTTGTTACATGCATAACAGTAAAATAACAATTAAATAACTTTATAGGCGATAGAAAACAAATAAAGATCCGTTCCGTGTAACACATATGACGCAATTGCATAGTAATACAGGTTCTTTGGTAATTGAAACTGGTAGTTTCACGCATGTTTATATGCGTATAGCATAAAGATCCGAAATACAGAAATAAGATTTGAGCAAAATGAGCAAAATGTATGTAACTTAACCTGACGAATTTAACGAACAAGTTCATGAATGCGTATCCGAATCTTCGTGGATGAATGCTATTATTATTATTATTATTGCAGTTGTCAAACTTGAATGAATAAAAAAGAACTTGTGTCTAATACAAAGAACCTACAAACTATTCGAGAATATAAGAACGCATACATACATTGCATTCATTTTGCATTCATATCGCATTCATCCACTTTTGCATTTATAGAATTTGAAAAAAAACTCGTGGCTTGCACCCGAGTATTTATATAAGAGGAATTTGCTCTTGTTTTTCTTGTTTATTGATTGTTTGATTGTTCAAAAGTGCTTTTGTACTGTATTTCTGTATTTAAATGTTATTGTTTCACAACAATGATCTGCTGTGCTGTCAGTTTAATAACAGATAATATTATATAAGTACGTACGTATGCTTTTGCGACAGTATAAAAAATATTTTCCTTTTCGGTCATCACATGATTTCCGAGTCTACTACTGCATTTTACTGCATTATTTAACGTTATTTCAATAATTGTATTAGTGCATTACATTATCTTTCTGATTATCATATCCAACCAATTAAGTCTTGTCTTACGACCACGTTGATTATTTGTTTTTCTTTTAAAAAAAAACTGAAAATATATTTTACATTTACGTATATACAGTGTATATATATAATCTGCACGTGTCGTTATATCTACTATATAAGGCCTAAGCAATGTCTATTCTTTTTTTTTGGGTACTAAATTTCAAAGAATGATGGGCTCGCTGCACTAAAAGTGTTGTGGGTGTCCTGTGTTTGATGTTTTATTTGAATATTTTCGCTCCTTTAGATTGCGACCACCAATTCCAACAATTCCGTTAATTCAAATATAAATATCAACTCGCGCTACAAAATGAGTCAAGGCAATGAAACCAATTCACCAAATATGACAAATCCTGTAGAAGTCTTATGCCCTCCAGGTTTTAATTTAAATTAAATCTCTAAGTTTATTTGGCCGTTTTTACTTAAATATTTTGCATTCTAGGCGTGCCTATTGGTGACAGCCAATGTTTTTGTGATTGGCGCGTTCAATTGACAGGTGCTTTGCCTCTACCTTCATTTCTTATATAAAAAGTTGTTCGACACCATGAATTGCGGTGTCCGTTTTACTTTTAAACTTTGTGTTTAGATGTCCTGAATTCAGAATGGAACAATTAAGTCATATAAACTTTGAGCTGCAATCCGAAATACTCATTGTAATTTGCCTGTATTTATTAGGCTGCCCACAGGAAGAATCATTTTTGCGTATTTTATACTTGTTAAACACTATAGCATGCTTTGTGGTGTTTATTATGATAACCAGCTTATTAATTTGGAGAACTACAGTGAGGGGCCAAAGATTAATTGCAAGGGACCCTCTAAAAGAAATGGGTTATTTTCGTCCACGACCCTTAGAATGCTTCCTACTTTTGAACATGTTGCATGTCTGCTGTAAGTTTTACGTTGTAGTTTTACTTAGGTTTAAATTTAGATTTAAATTTCGGCGCGTTTTGACTTTATTTCGATTTTATTTTGGTATTCCGGTTTAATAGCGCGACTTTTATATTCTGTTTGTCTTCTAAGTCAATATTTAAACAGTAATATATTATTAGAACGTGAGAAACTTTCCTTTTCTTGTTTACACATGGACTTGGTGCTGGAAAAAGGGATTAAATTGACAAAAATTTTTCACAAAAATTAATTATCTCGCGAATTATCAATCCAAATAACATGATTTTGGACCATTCAATTTATCTAAGAGACGAATCGAATGGTACCAAAAATCATGTAATTCTGATTGATAATTCGCGAGATAATTAATTTTTTGGGAAGAATTTTTTTTTTTTGTCAATTTTTCGTCCCTTTTTCCAATACCAAGCATACCAAGCGCACGCATTGATCCATTACTAATCAAATAAATTTATTAATTATCGATCTTTAAAGTTTTTCATGATGTGACATTCACTATCTCTTTGGCGTCTCTTGCTGTTTATCTAATTGGTCTCATATATACGGTACCAAGATCTCATATAACACGTTATCACCATTATTCTCATGAAGCAAAAAAGATTTGGATACCGCGACCTGCAATTGTAGATGCTTTTGGTTTTTTCGTCTTAATTGGACCAATAGGTTTAATATATATATATATTTTTTATGTTTGTTTTTTGTATATTATATGTGTTACATTTGTAGGAGTTGTAGTTAAAGTTTTATTTGCTTTTTTTTTTT